ACTTTGTTGGGTACAGATTCTGAGGAGGAAGATTGTAATGAAAATATTGACCAGGGTGGGGACGGAGAAAATGAGACAGAGAGGAAAGAAGTACTGTTGTACTTTGGGGAAGCACCTATTCCAAGGGATAATGACCCCCTAACATAGTGGAAGAATAATGCAACAAGATTCCCCACACTGGCTACTTTAGCCAAATCATATATGGCTGTACCTGCCACATCAACACCCTCTGAAAGGCTTTTTTCTGTTGCTGGAAACATCGTCACCAAAAAAAGGGCAAGCCTGACTGCTGAGCATGTAGAAATGCTAACATTCCTTCACACCTATGCATAACTGCTTCTTGTGATGAATATGATTGGACACACATACACACACAGAGAGAAACAAGAGAAGGCAGCAAAATGGATGTTATTTTTTAAAGAGCACTTTTTTGCAGAGAGCAAAGTGAATGTTATTTTTTTTTTGTTCAAAGACACCATTGCTGCTGTTTATATTTTATTTATTTTTTGTTGTTTTGCACAACATTTAATTTCTTGTTAAATGCTACCTCTAAAATAAGATTGTACTACTACTTTATCTTGGATTTTTTTTATTAAAACAACAATGTAAAACTACTTCATGTGATGAACAAAAGAAAAGGCTAAATTGATTTTACTTTGAAAATGAACACTTTTTTGCAGAAAGCAAAGTGAATGTTAGATTTTGTTTGTTAAAAAACACCATTGCTGCTATTTATATATTTTTTGTTATAAATTTTCCTTGATTTATATGAATAGTTTGCACAACATTTAAGTTTTTGTTAAATGTTATCTCTAACATAAGATTGTACTACTATTACAACAACTTTATTTTTGAATTTGTGTGTTCAAATGAAGAAATTTGCATTTATTTCATTGAGATACATAAATTAGTAATAATGAAACTGCTATACAAGTCAAATAATTGGGAAATAATCAATAATTTAATCTAATCAAATTAACAAATTAATCATTAGATTAAATCGATGCATCGAAAAAATAATCGCTAGATTAATCGATTACAAAAATAATCGTTTTTCCCAGCCCTACGGATGACATTCTGTCTCAATCTGTCCCCCTGATGATATTCTGCATTCCGTATTCTGCGCTTCAGGCTCTGTGTGTGTGTGTGTGTGTGTGTGTGGGGGGGGGGGGGGGGGGGGGTTCTTGTTCTGTGTGAAAATGAAGCGGTACAAGTGATAATGCTGCAGGATTTCATAATTTTAACCCTTCTCAGCAGCAGCACTGCAGGTGCTCTCCATGTCCAAAATGTGCGTAAGCCAGGTCCTTAGTCAACTTAAAGTTGCGCACATTTTCCCGCTACGTTCTCTTTCATAAATCCCAAAGTTTGCATTGAAAGTTGCTTACACAGTTTTCCAACCCAGTTTTGTGCGTAAGCAAGCTTGATAAATGAGGCCCCAGGGCATTTGTGTGTGTGTTTTGGCCATTCTTAAATGCAAAAAACACAATATAAACACCATCTTGGACCGGATAACACAGAACAGTGCTACGCCCTCTATTGTCCTGGTGGGGAATTGCTTTGTAACACTCCCCAGGAGACGGAGAAGTATGGGGGCAAAACGTCTCCATTCGTGCGTCTCTCTCCCTGGTGGAGCTGACGGAGAAGTATAAATTTGGTTTCAGTAACAGGAAGGAAGCTTTTTTTTTTTTAATAAGTTCAACTTTCAGTTACAGCTGTAAATACAGATCTTCAGATGAAAACGCATTTGTTTTAATATTTTAGTTCCTCTTGGAAGAACAGCTGCTTATTTAAACTGAATGTTTTGGTATTTGACATTTCCATTCAGGAAAAAGAAACTATTTGTAACTCAAACTGAGACAACACATAATTTTGTTTATTGCAACGAAGCTTCATGGTAATAGATCTGATACAGGGTATATACAGCAATCCTTAAGTAAAATTTACTACTTTTTAATACTTTTTTTTACTACCTTCAGAATTTTTTTAAAACCATCACAACACTAAATTGCAAGTGTTAATCAGCGACCTATTTACACATATTTTAACATATATAACATACAAAAAGAATAGACTTAGAGACTCACTGATGTTGACAACGTATTGCGCATATTTATTTTACTTAGAAAATAAGCCAGGCACTTCTGTTCAGCAGTTCAGACAGTTGACCACGAGGCCTGAAATGATGCAGAACGACCACTGAATATGACATCATCATAATGTGACCGGATATGCTAAAGTAGGGCTGCTCAATTATGGCAAAAACAATAATCACGATTATTGTGACTGAAATTGAGATCTCGATTATTTAAGACGATTTTTCAATTTATGTAGATTTTTATTTTTTTATTTTTATTCAGTCATAAAACTGCTCAGGGAACAATCAGGGCAAAAAGAAACAAGAAACAAGATGATCACTAAAATAACTCCTGATTCCCAGGATAAAAAGACCAATATACTTATAGCTCATAGTTTATGACCCAAGGGCTATAGGCCTTGGTTTAACTCATTTAAGTCTAACCAGTACAGACCCAAATACCATTATCTTGCAAATACTGACAGCAAGAATTATACAGCGGCATTTATAACAAATACATGCAAATAAATTGATGTTCACTAAATGTTGCATAACATTTATTTAGTCGTGTCAAGGTGCTGTAGGAGAGTGCACTAGCACCGTGTCCTCAGAGAGGTTAGTTATTAGTTATCAGCGTGAGGAACTTATTTCTACCTTATTTATAAACTATTTATTTACAAGTCCATCAGTTAATGTAATAATTGTCCCAACCACAGCTGCACCCCCCACCCCCCAACCCGGTCTCACAGCAATCGGGGGCAAGCTTCACGTGTGTTTAGCGTGCTGCACGCGCACATTTAGCTGTTTTTAGTGGCTCAGGAGTCCGCAGGTACGGTGTGTGTGTCACTCACTCTGGTTACTCCAACAGGGAGCCGGCTCTGAAAGCTGTTTCTTTAGCGACCAACACATCACTACATCATTCCCTTTCCTAATGTCCTGAAGAACGGTCCGGAGTGCAGGCGGAGTGTTTAGCTAACCTGCAGGAAATGTCAACGACAGTTATCCAGAAAGTAGCTAAGGGTTATCAGAGATGTTTCTGAGGTGTTCGCTAGGTACTTTTAAGATTTAAAAAGTCAAGAAGGGGGTCTGAAAAGCTGCTAGAAATAGCATCAAAGTCGCTAAGTTGGCAACGGAGCGCTTCATTTGTAACTCAGGGAAGCTCAAGTGGGAGGAGCAAATAATCGGCTTGTTTTATTTTTATAATCGTTCAAAACATTTCATTCGGAATATATTTCTATGTCGATGTTCAGAATACGACACCTGATAGTCTGAAAAAAATAATACCTAACTTGGAAAAAATAATACCTCTGAGACCAAATTTAACACTTTTAATGGCCTTAAATTTGACTATTTTTATTTATCACTTTTTAATACTTTTTAAAACCCCGCGGACACCCTGTGATAACAGTGGGAAGCCTGATTAGTTACCTTTACTGTAGGTGGTGCCATCTAAACCTGCTTTATTCTGCTGTTGGAATTCAGTTCTTCACTGGATTCAACTCTCCCACGGTACTCAGGAAAAAGCAACACAGAAGGCCCATTTCATTTTTTTGGAACATCTGGGTCATTTTGCTGGACCTTCGTTACGTTCACCAGGCCGACTCAATAGGGCCACTTTTGAGAGCTTTTCAGGAACCAACCTAGAACCTGAATTGGAGCAAGTACGAGGAAAAGGCCCGGTAGTGCCGCTGGACGGGACTTGTTGTTACGTTCTGCTGATTGGTTGGAGAAACAGCTGATAGGACAGAGCTATAGAATTTTCCCTCTCCCAGAAGTGTCCCTGAACTCCTGTAGTGAAAACACGGTAATACTGGCCCCTGTGAGGGACAATCAGTAGGACGTGGAATATCCCAACACAGCCTCACCAGCTTGGCCCCGCCTCCTCATTCTAGACACATGTTCTTGTGAAACCAGGAGTCAACCAGTGTTGTTGTGTTAGGCTCAATACCAATACTCACACTTCCACCCTTGTGCCCTTCAATTGCGCATTCCTGTCCAGGGGCACAAGGTGTACCAATCCTCAAGTGCGGAAATTGACCACACCCCTTTTGCACACTTGATGCGGACTTGGGCAAAGGGTATTACCCACAATCCATTGCTGTGAAGGCATTTTGAAAAGACTGAACAATGGCTCAAGTGCCTTATTTGAAAATATGTATTTTCAAACAAAAGAAGTTCATTTTAAGACGACTAATGATATTTATATGAATAAATATCATTACTGAATGTTTAAGATTAAAATTTAATGTGAACAGCAATGAATGTAAATTGTGTCAACTGTTTAAAAATTGTTAATAAAGCTTTTTTAAAAAGTAGCACAAACAGCAACCGGCATCCCTGCATGCACAGTGGTCGATGATGCAACGGCCACTGTCCCAATTCAGCACACAGAGCCTTACTGCACACTTCCTCTAAGCGCACTTCACAGAAGACACAGGGTGCAGTGTGGGTATTGGAACTGTGTGTGTGTGTGTGTGTGTGTGTGTGTTGGAGCATAGAAACAACTAAAGTATGCTCGATAGCAGAACTCAAGAACCAGGGTGGGACACGCCCATGCTGTCGATCAGGAACCACTCATACAACTGACTGGAACACACCCAACAAGAATACATTCCTACAGAAGAACTTCTGGAGTGCCATGAGTACAATCCTTACGAGTTAGATCACGTTGCTCAGTTATTGCCAAGAAGCATCAATAAAACAAAGAAATGACCAACCAAATGTGCATTTCCTTGTATTTTGTGCTGCAAATAATCATTAAGACAAAAACGGATGTTTACTGGAATCCACTTAGAATGAACTGACCTATAATAATGATTTTACCTGTTTCAACATTTAGGAAGTTTGGATCAGCCAATATCAGGACAAAACTCTGATCTGTGTCGTGCTGGTGAGTACATAAAGAACCATAAAACCGTAAACTCACCTGCAGTTTGGCGGAGGGTCCAGGGTAATTTCAGCCAGCTCTTTTTGAATTCTGCAAATGTTACAAAAATCAATTACTGATGGAAGGATCAGAGGTGGAATTACTCAGAATCAAACAAAGTGATTAAAAATAAATATGATCTAGTTAACATGGCATCAGAAAACTAACTTACACACCTTAATGCTGTTTGACTGTTTTTGTAGAAAAGAATGTTGAATGAGACTGAAACTGTGAAGATTTTTTTTTTTTTTTTTTTTTACTGAAGAAGAAACTGGTACTTCCTTAAAAACATGGTTTACAACACTACTCTGGCTTATAGAAGCAACCGCCTAAGCACAAATTAAACTAGTTCCTCTTTGACCATCAATGTGTTTTTTTCACTGTTAAATAAATACACAAGGGGAAGTCATGAAAACAAATTCTACTGTCGTTTACTCATGTTTCTGAGCTTATCCTGCCATCAGCAGCTACTAAAAGTTACATATTTATATGTAAACAACATTGTTGTCTTAAGGGGTTTTAAACAGACATGAATCTAATGAGCAACAATAATCTGCCCATTGCTGTATGACAGATTTCTTTTAACCTTTTGGCGCTGGTGGAAAGCAGCTTGGAGGTCTTGCTCATGCTGGTTTTGTTCTCCCGTTTCTTCTTGAAAGCTGTATCCTTGTGTCTGTTTTGGCTGGAGGAAGGTGGTGATGAGGATGAGCTGGTGCTGGCACGGGAATCCTCATCCGACATACCGGTTAGGATTGGAGAAGAGCCGCAACCTGAGGAGAAATGGGAGGAAATCTGAAAAGTGAAAGTAACCCAAAAATGTGGAGCACTTGTGAATAAAGGTAGGTAATAGTATTTTCCTTTTGGGAGGTTTATGTTTCTGAACACATTTTCAAATGTGTAGTGTTGACAAAAACAAAACATCTGGTTTTCATCAGGATTAACAAAACAAGCTGGAATAAAAATGAACAAACCAAGTGCTTAATAATGGGGAAAACAGTCTTATTTTTTAAAAGGTTTTTGTGGAAATTATTTATTTGAAAATGTTAATTTTCTAAACATTTATGCACCACCTTTCCTTGATATAGCCTAGCAGCAATATATATATATATATATATAAGTCTGAATAAAATTAGAAAAAATTAAGATATTGAAAACATTTACATCCGAAAGAATAAATTAAATCCAGGATGTGATCATGTGCAAACCATGGTGCAAACACAAAACATTACACATCAGTTAGCTAGCTTGTTTGTTTTGATCTCATGTTGCAGACATGAGATAGGATTCTCGCGAGATTTCACAGCGATTCGCCTTCTGTTTTTTTTTTCGTTAGGTAACGCTTTCCGCTACGGTTAACAGTCTTTAGCCTTAGCTAGCTCGTGGTTAACATTAAATATGGTAATTTTGTATCGTAAGCTATAAATTAAAACGTGTCTGATGGTATATACACGCCATATGTTTCTTCAAATCACCTTTCTTCGTGAGCACTATCAGTAATCCAGCTAATAGTCCTCCCCGCTTCATAAAAAACTTAACTGGTAACGAAGACTCGGGCCTCAAGTCTTTGTGGATAAAACAATAATAACGTGAAATTAGACGACGGCTGTGTTGTCAGCTCTCGTTGTGAACCGCTGCCTTTGGCATTAAGACACATATAAATGTAACAATTAAAGGTTTGAAGCAAGAATGAGAAAAAGAGGACCGCTCCAGCACATAGACGCAGCCCTTCCCCCCGTGCTGCTGCTGACTCGACCTCGAGCGTTTTGTTTTTCTTTTACTCGTTTCTGTCGCCGCGCATCAACATCAGCTGGGAACGCAAACATGTTGGGAATCAGCGCAGATTTTCACAATGCCGAACTAAACGCTTGAACGGAACCATTCATCTCGCTCGTGAAACTTACCCACTCTTTGTGTCTGGACCTCCGCCACCGTCAGGCTGCCTGCTGCCTGTCGTCCTCTGCGGAACGGAAGTAGCCTTCCGCGGCTGCGGGAGGCTGAACAGCTCCGGTCCTGCTGGGGAAACTGGGCCGTCCGCGGCGTGTGTCAAAGCTTCACATCAAGTACATTTAATTTAAACAAGATTAGTCTCCCAGAGGAGCTGTACAGCAGTGCTCCGATGACACCCAGACAGCACAGGTGGGCTAAAAGTCACGCACTGCAATGCACTTGTTAAAGGTGACAGCAAATAAATCAAAAGATAAAAAAAGTAGTTCAACTTCTAAAAAATGATTCATATCTGATCTGAAAATCTAAACATTGAAGGATAAAAAGGAAAGTGAAACGTTTTGATGATGATCAGAAATGTGTAACAACTTGAGCCGTCACTAGATCAGCCACAGAAAATAACCACTTAGACTGACCACGTCTGATGACTGATCTGAGAACTTCGTCACGAGATTTAATTATGAAAATAGCATCATCATCATCTTGAAAGTGTTTTATTATTCACAGTTTCGAGAGGTTAAAGTGGAGGCAGAGCTTTAAATTGTGTTTGTTTTGTGATCTTTACATTTCATAGAATAATTTAATCTGCATCTAAATCAGTTACAATTTACACTGTAATAGATTTGTTTTGACAAATAGGATCCATTAGACCCTAGCATGTTAAATTATGAATTAACCTTGATTAATCATGTGCAATCTGACATGGTGGTGGTCATGTGGTGGTCTGGGCCTGCTCTAATGTAACGATGGAGCTCTAGTACAAGGTCTGACCTTTGATCTTCAGCAGATCATTTTATGCTAGAAAATACTCAAATGTGGCTGAAATCAGACAATTCTGTAAAGAGCGTGGCAGAACTCCTCCATAGAGAGATGCGACAGACTGGTTACCAGTATCACTAACGCTTGCAGATAGTTTCTAGATTAACGTCTTATTAGGTGGAAGGTTTGTTCTGATCCTATACCAGCCTCTACAAATCCTACAGAACTGAAGATCTGGTTAAAATGACTGGTTACCATCTGTAGATTGCAGATATTTGTTTCTGCTTCCTTTAAGGTTCTACCACAGCATTAATATCAGGGTAAGGTCTGGGTCTGGACCAGGACCGGATCACTGCAGAATCACAGTTCAGTTCTTTTCACACTTTCAGCTGTCAGACATTTGGTTTCCCCTTTTATTTTATTTTTCCACGAGTTATTTTAGCAGGTTTTCATTAACAGCAGTTTGTTTTTTTAAATGAAAACAGTTTATTTGGTTGTTTTTTTACTTTCCATTTTACACGTGTTAGAAATAAAATCCAACCAAAAAAAAGAAACAGAGATATAAAACAGGAGAAGATAAAAGGTTTGATTGCATGCTAATGGCGATACAATCACAAAAAGACCCAAAACATGTACAAGATGGGCTTTTCTATCTTCCTACCTTTTACAACATGCAGGATTATCTAAATACAGCATCTTTAAAAATAAATCACCAAGGAATTTAGACAAAATGCGTAGACAAACATCCATCCATTTTTGTCACTTAATCCGGGGTCGGGTGATGGAGGCAGCAGCCTAAGCAGCGGCCCAGACCTCCCTCTCCCCAGCCACTTGGGCCAGCTCCTCCGGGAAAATCCCAAGGTGTTCCCTGGCCAGCCGAGAAACATAGTCCCTGCAGTGCGTCCTGGGTCTTCCCTTGGGTCTCCACCTGATTGGAAGTGCCCAGAAAACCTCACCTGAGAGCATACACGTGGCATCCCAACTAGATGCTCGAGCACCTTAGCTGGCTTCTCATCAATGTGAAGGAGCAGCAGATCTACTCTGAGCCCCTCGCGGGTGACTGAGCTTCTCACCCCTCTTAAGGGAGAGGCCCAGCCACGCTGCTGAGAAAATTCATGTCGACCGCTTGTGTCCGCAATCTCATTATTTGGTCACTACTCAAAGTTTGTGACCATCGGTGAGGGTAGGAACTTAGATTGACCGGTAAGTCTTCACCTTCTGGCTCAGCTCTCACTTCACAACAGATCACTCGATCTCGCGTTCCATCTTTTCTTTTTTGTGAACAAGACCTCAAGATACTTAAACTCCTCTATTTGGGGCAGGACCTCATCCCTGACCTAGAGAAGGCATTCTACTCTATTCCAATCCAAGACCATGGTCTTGGATTTAAAAGGAGTCGATTCTGTGAACCGCTCCAGCTAAAGCTGGAGATCACGTCCTGGTGAAGGCAACAGGACCACATCATCTGCAAAAAGCAGAGACCTGATCCTTCGGCCACCAAAATGGATGTCCTCAACACCTTAGCTGTGCCTAGAAGTCATGTCCTTAAAAGTTATGAACAGAATCGGTAACAAAGGGCAGCCTTGGCGGAGTCCAGCTCTCACCGGGAACGAGCCCGACTGACTACTGGCAATGTGGACCAAGCTCCGACACCGGTCATACAGGGACCCAACAGTCAGAAGGCCCGGTACCCCATACTCCTGAAAAAATAAAACAATGATTTCCAAATTTGCCTTATTTACTAAGATTATTTTAAACATTTTAAATATAAAACAGAGTTCTAACTCCGATCTGTTCTTTTATATTTGCACCGATCTTTAGGTTTTCTCTCTTTATAGTTTCTTTAATTTCAAATAACTTGAGCAAACAACCAGGAAGTCTTTTATTGTGAGCTTTATGGTGTCAGTAAAGTTCTACTAAATCACAACACTTTAAAGCGTGTTTATGTTGGTATAAAGAACGAGACTCCTGCTTAGTTTCACAGCATTGACAGGTGTGTTTTTTATCCAACACCTGGATGAGGCGTTTAGGTTTCCCAAAGCCAGAGCCCAGATGTTTACATGTAATGTGACACATGCGCCAATTTAAAAGCACTCCTAAAACCACAGTTTTATTAAAGGTCCTGCCTGGCAGATAAAACTCCTTTGTTTACCTTTCAGATCCTGCAAACATGGCGTCACTGATCTGGATCCCTGCCAAAACTCAAAAGTCGACCCAACCATGAATTTATTCATGAGTTTCTGATACTAACAGGTGTGTGTGTGTGTGTGTGTGTGTGTGTGTGTGTGTGTGTGTGTGTGTGTGATAAGCAGTGAGGAGGTGAGGCCTACATTAAAGTATTGAAGCATGTTAACAAAAACCACAGGTTTTCTTCTCACAAGCTGACCACGGTGTGTTTTATTGGGTGCTTCAGATATACAAGTGCACAACAAACCACCCTGCAGCGGCAGAGGTGGCGGGTAGCCAGTAAATATACAAGTCCTGCCTCTTTCACGGGCAGACCTATACTTTTGTGGTCTGCCTCAAAAGCCTTAAAAAAACAACAACAACAAACATACAGTACAAACAAAATCAGAAGAGGCTAAAAAGCAAGAAGAATTCATGGATGCAAACTTCCTTTTCCATGCAGATAAACCAATGACGGACACGAAAACAAGGAGAAAGGAAGTGGAGCGGAGTCTGCATGTTTGTTCCAGGTGCCACTAAGAAGAACATCCCGTAGAGCTGGAGGACAACGACGTGTGTGATAATAATAATATTCTGTTTTCTCCAATGCGATAATTCCAACATTCAGATATTGGAACATAAAAATCCAGATCTACTCTTTGTATAAAAAAGAAGCTTTCAAGTCAACAAGGAACAAAGGACAATTTTTTTCTGTTTTTAAATTTTTTTTGCTTTTGCACAGAAATGGTAGATTGGGGGGGGGGGGGGGGGGGGGGAACAGAAGGAAAGGTTTACCGTTGCACTTAGTGAATGTGCTTTGACATACTAAGGGTGGAGGTAGAGAGAGGTTCAGTGGTGGGGGTGGGGGGGCGTCTGCTGCAGCAGGGAGTCTATGTGGCGTATCTCTTCGTCCATTGTTTAGCTATTCTGTCATGTTCTGTTCTGTTGGTCAGGTACTGTGTGGCGATGCTTCCCACCAGTGGATCGGCTGAAAACAGAGGGGGAGGGGGTAAAATCAGTAAACACCCATAATTGAAAAGTAAAAGTCTTAAAAAAAAAAACCTAAGTAGAGACTTAAGCATCCACCTCATCCATGTTCCAGCTCTAGATCAGACGAGACAAACTCAATCTCTAGGTCGGGAGCCGTTTGGGGAGATGTACGACTGACTTTACGTTAACCGTGTGAAGACTGAATTCCTGGGAGCGACCGTGGTGAACAGACCATCAGGGATATTCAATTACATTATTTGTTGGACTAAAGGATTTTGCCAGTCTTTCACAGTCAGTGTGCTGCTAAAATGGACATATACCGGTCTAACGATCGGCTGTAGATATCGGCTTTCGGCAACAAAATTCTTTAAAAATCAGCTTTAAAAAACACATCGGTCGGCCTCTAGATCTAACCGAATATGGCAAGCTGTTCTAGAGTTCCAGGTCTTCTATGAAAAAAGATCTGTTACTGTGAGTTTTCTGTTTGGATCTTGGGACCTCCGGAAGTAACTGGGAGCTAGACCGCAAAGTTATGGCTGGAGTGTGGGTAATAGAAGCTCTATCAAATAAGAGGGGCAAGGCCTTTAATGGATTTAAAAACAAACATGATTTTAGACTTGATTCTGTAAACAACTGGAAGCCAGCGTAGGGACTTCAAGCCTGGTGTAACAGGCACACATCGCTTCACGCCCATCAGCAGGCGGAGAGCCGCACTCTCAACCATCTGGAGGCGTGAGATAGAGCTCTGCTTCAAGACAAAATAAAGGGAGTAATAAACCCTGAAACCACCGGTCCTCGTCTGTCTGATACTTTTGGAATGTGATGGACATCTTATGCTTCAGGATTTACGGGGATGCCAAATCCAGATGGTGGTAAAGGTTAGTTAAGTTATTTATGTCTGTTCATCTGCAGCTCGGTCACCAACTCCTCTCAAAGTCGTCTCACGGAAGCTAAACTGAGACGTTTTCTGAGGCTCGCCCCACTCTCTGACTGTTTGGGTTAACTTCCATTTAACGTGTTCTAAATTCCATCAACATGACACGAGAGCTCGACACCTATGAGGTAGTTAACCCCGCAAATATTTAGCCAAATTCCTCATGAATGCCATTTGCAGGCTGGAAGATTGCTGGTTTTATGTTTGCAGCTGATTCGAACATCGATGTTGGTTTGAACCACAAACTTCAGCTTTGATCTAGAGCCCCCACAGGTGGATCAACCTCTAATCAGAGGAGAAGAGGTCCAAATTATCACCATGGTAGCAAAGAAGTGGAGGGAAGCTGCTCTTGTTGCTTTCAGTCTTTACTGAATATTTCTTCAGACAGATATCTCAGCAGCACAAATCTAAAAGCTGGTCACTGTACAAGTTACAGTATATATATGGACTATTGGTCTCACCTGGGTTACAGTCTGTGAGCAGGGAGCAGATGGACAGCAGCACCTTGGAGATGGTGAGGGCGGGGCTCCAGTTGTCCTTCAGGATGTCCAGACAGATCACCCCCTGACTGTTGATGTTGCAGTGATAGATCCTCGTACGGAACGTCACCTGCAGACACAAGCAGGGCCGTGAACGACGGCTGGAGTCTGAAAACATTGTTCCCGTTTGTGAAATCCAGAGTAAAAACAGAATTCTGATCAGATGATCCGAAATAGGAGAATGAGATCATAACAGGTCAGTTTACACAAGATAAAAGCACAAAATCAGGCTGGGAACAGCAACCATGGAGAGCAAATGTTTGGTTTTCACAGTTTCCTGGTTTGGGAGGGAGACTCCAGAGCACCACTGCTGAGACAGAAGTGTGCTAATAAGGGATTGTAGAAATGCCGAGTCGGGTTTCTGGCACTTTGAGTAATTTCTTCACGCTGATGCTCAGTACGCTGAGCAGTCAGGTTCCCATCTAATTTAGGAGGGTAAAAGCATGTTTTCCCAGCTAACATTTGGTGGTTAGGCATCAGTGACTCATTTGGGTCTGTTCACACATTTAATCAGAAGATCTTTTAACTGGAGATTTTATTTATTATAAATGCAGAAACAAACCCCCATTTTGAAGATGTAACAATAAAGTTGAACTAAAACATATAAGTAGCACATTTTGAAAAATAATTCCATGTTATTTGTTCTGTTTAATTTGAGAAGCAACTCATACAATTATTAAAAAAAAAACATAACATTTACCTTTAAATGTGGTCTTAAAATATTTAAACTCTGACTGGTTGGATGTTGATGTTTCTATTAGAGAGAAATGGGATTAAACTGGTTATAACGAAGCAGCAGAGTTCAGCTCGTCTTTATGAATAAATAATATCTATATATTACACTATTTAATAATAAGTGTCGGTTACCAGAAGTAGTTAAATGAAAATGTGGAGTGTTTGTAACTGAAGGATTTTCTGAGTGAAGACATGTCAAACAAGGATTTTGCTGTAACTGGACTCAGGAGGAGGAAAAGGAGAGGAACTGATTAAAGTTTTCTCCTTTATCACATTTATGTTGTTGCATCAGTGCTGCTGTAAAGGCTCCACTGGGGGCCGAAACACTGGGTTTGTCACTGCATGCACACACAAACACACGCCCACACACACACACACACACGCCCACACACACGCACGTGCGTATCCCCTACCCTTAAAAAAATAAACACCCAGCATTTTCTAATGGACAACACAACTGGATGATTTAATTTCAATGATAACAGATTTTTTTTGATCAAACCTTACATAAAGCTTTTGTTCCCACTGACCAGCAGGGGGCAGCGTTGTGTAAAATCAACGCAACAATAGCTGCTCTGTTGACTAGAAAAACTGGGCTTCAGCACCAACGTGCCAATTAAGTTTGCTTTGTTGTGGCAGTAAACTCCAGCAGGGGCTCAGAGGGTGTGGCATCACACACTTCCCTCTGAAACTCCAACTATCACCTACGACTGAGTTGTTTATGTCGGTCAGCTCCACTCAGAGCTCAGCCTGTCCCTCCAATCACCAACATCTGCCCCTCATGACCTCTATCCACCACAGGAAACCTCTAATGGTCCGCAGAGCTCCCAAAAAAGAAAAACCACACAAGACAGGTAAATAACCACCCCCACCAGGTCCAGAACACACACACACACACACACACACACACACACACACACACACACACACACACACACACACACACACACACACACACACACACACACACACACACACACACACACACACACACACACACACACACACACCAAAAAAATCCCCTGATAAACGTGTTGTTCCTCCCTCACAGCTGTTAGATTTTAAAACCAGGTCTGACTCTGGATCTTGTGTGAGCTCATTCAGCATACGCTTCGGTGGTTCAGCTCCACACTGAGGGTGTGCGTGTGCATGTGCGTGTGTGCGCGCGCGCGTTGGCTGCAGATCACAGTGTGCTGAATGGGGTGAGAGGTATTGAGGAGGGGCGGAAACACTCGAGCCCTCTGGCCACAGAGAGCCAGGCTGGAGCCTGTGGATTTGTTTGAGTCTCCTGTCAAACATGGAGCTGGTGGGGGTGGAGGTGGGGGGGTGGGGGGTGGGGGGGGTCCCCTCCGACAATTTCAGCTACTTTCCCGGACAGCGAGGGTTTGGTGACGACATCCACTCTGCAGCAGAGAACTCATCAGGTTTAACTTCATTAATGTTTCACACAGAAGAGTTCATCAGCTGTTCTGCATCGACCCGGTTCTCCTACCAGAACTCACCAGAACCAGGCGGGATTTTCTGCTCCAGTCTGACTAAACTCAGTGATCATTTCCTTTTCTGGTGTTAGAAATGTTCTGAATTAGTTTTTATTATTTATAATTCTTACAATTCTGTGTCTCACTTTGCCTTCGCCACATTCAGGAAGACATGTTGTGTGGGTTTTATCGAATAAAAACCGCTTTTAGTTTCACTACAAAAATCTGGGAATATAACTCCAGATTATAGTCTTGTACTGGCAAAACCCTGACAATCATCTTTGAATAAAAGCGTCTCATTTATCAAAAAGCAGCAAAACCGGTGGAAACTTAACAAGTCAATAATCTGGAGCTGCCTAATTAATAGTTTCTACTAACCAGAGAATCAATTAACCACCTCAGACAGATTAAGCAGACATTTAAAGGTTAAAGTGGCATCAGTTTGCCTTTTGTGACCAACAATTTCCAGAAAATGTTTAACTTCAAACATTTTTCAGAAAACAACTTTGCTGTAAAATTCAGTTTAATCTAGTTTCAGTTTGTTTACTTTTAAATCCATAGACAAAAATAAACACAAATTTAAAAAGTCTATAAAATAATTCTTGGGCAATAAAGTAAGCTCTGAACTAGCCTGGTCTGTCGATTCTACACCGAGGCCGAGTCTGGATACTCAAGAGGCAGACAGCACCATGAGGGGTGGGACTAGCCAGCTCAAAAATAACCAATCAGAAAAAAGGTGGAAATGACAACTGTACCGCACAACGCTTTAGTTTTCTTTAGCTGTAGTTAAAAATGACGTACGGCAACGGTGCAAACATATTTCTTCTTTATACGATAGCATAAAGAAGAAGCATGTGCAATACATATATCACAAAGAACAAAAAACAAACAAACATTGCAATGAATGGTCAACTCAAATGTTTGCCACTCATGATGCATTTTGTCAATCAGATGGAAGCATAGAGCTCTTCACACATTTGGCCAATCGGGTGGGTTCTCATAGGTTAGATGCCCGCCCCCGAGGCAGACGGCGCTTAATTGGATGGCTAGCAAAAACCGGAGTTAGTGTCGTTCTGCTGATTCTGCTTTTGCCAGGGTCCACTAGTTGCCTTTTCTTGTTCATTTTCTTTTTCCCTTTCCACACATCTCTTGATCACAAATTTTGCTTTTCCCATTTTTTATGATATTTTTCATAAAAAATTGTTTTTATGTCTTTGTTTTTGATTTTTTTTTGTTTCTGAGTTAAGTTTTTTTTTTAATTGAAAGTCATATCGTCATCACAATAACAATCACAGTTATCGCATATTGCAGGTTTTCCTAATATCATGCAGCCCTAATTATGCTAGTAACAAGGATGTAGAGACGCTTTGACGATGACGACAACTCAGTTCTAAAGAATCATCAACGTCAAATCAGGTAGCCCACGTGCTACAAATCCCCAGGGGTCCATAAATACTGTAGGGAGCATTCTGCCTGCTTTTCCTCCAGTTTGCCATCTTCTCCACCTCCACCAACATCTCCACCACATACCAAAGACCCGGACCTTCTCAGTCGCTTGGCAACGGATAACTTCTGGGTTCAAAGCCGCTGTTTCGTCTCTACCGCAGATGAGGGAAATCACCAGGATTAGCACGTCTCCCTTCATAAAGAAGCTTCTTTCAGACATTGGAGGAGAGCTGTTTTTGTGTTAGCAGTCCCTCCTCTGCGCTGGTCTGTTTGGTATATTTAAACTTGGTAACTTGGGCTTAACGTTGGTAAAGCTACTGTTGGCACTTTTTTTAGCTTCTTGTGTTTGGATAAGCGGTTACGTTTTAGTTTAGTGTCGATCTTTTGTGTGGAGGAGATTTCCCCTTTTGTTACATTTAAACCCATTTTAGAGAAACAATGCCGATAATTTGCTGCAACGCTGTAGCGGCATCAGAAAGCCTTAGGTCATTAAGTGCACAGACCGTGATGGTAATGTTGCGCAACGGTTTCCTTTTTACTAAGGATTAGATGATGGCGACATAAAGGGGGTTTGGGGCGGTCTCTGTGCTGCTGCAGACTTCCATTTATCTTAGTGGTCATTAAGTTTTTTTTTAACAAACCACTCCTAAAGGCATCTGTCCTGCACCATCCCTGTGCAGTCTCTGGTGATCTGACCTCCAGCTCTAACGGAGAAAAAGCTCTGAGAGCTCTGCATTGCTCCAGTTTGCCATCTCAGCTGATTCTGATAACAAAGCAAACTTACGGCCATGTTTACTTTCATTTTTTATATATATTTCTCTTCTGAAGCTTGGCAGTAACTCCCCACATGATCATGACACCTCCCTCTGTTGTGCCAAGACGTAAAATGCATTCACAAGTCCGGCGTTGCGGTAATATTACTACCAAGCATGGTTTTGAATGCCACAAAATTCCTGCATCGCCATGCCACCACACCATGTTCATTAGACACACTGTGGCAGCAGTATTACACTGATTTGCCAAATTGGTGTGCCCTCTAAAAAGAGCTTTAGAGTGCTGTGGGTCTTTTGTTTAGTTTAAAATATCGCCTTGAGTTTGGTTTAACCGCACAGTTTTAAGTTTGTTCTTTTTGAGATCCTTATTTTGGTCTTAAAAACCTCGTAATCTTTGCCTAGTTTTAGTGGGTCTATTTTCAGCAACAAATTTGGGAATTTGGGTAACTGTCCCTTTAAGAGCTGTACCTACAATGCTTCAGTTTTGATTTACCAGGAAAATTCAGATGAAAGCTTAATTCTGATTAATAAATGTGAATACTTTTTTGATTTAAAATGTTTTCTTTTTCTGGAGTTGACTTTGCACACGAGCGCACGCGCGCACGCACGCACTTTCTGTCAGAGCTGCTGACCTTGGGGGGTTTGAATGGGTAGTCAGGTGTGAAAGCGATGTCCAGGAAGAAGACTCCTCCCTCGTAGACGGAACCCGGAGGACCCAGGATGGTCGACCTCCACTCGTAGATGTTGTCCCCCTTGGGGCCGGCGCTGCAGGAGGGAAATGGAGAGGCAAATAACGTGTTAATCAGCTGAGTGTACAATCCTCCAGGTGATAAGACTCGGATGGAAAAACCAAAACCAGGTATTGTCAGTGACGCGTTCATGATGAAGGTTTGGTAGAGAGCAGCAGAAGCTACAGACAGAAGGATCTGGGTATGAGGACAGGTCAAAATCATTTAGACTTTTTGATTAACAGATTAGATGATGTGAAGAGGAAAAGCCAACAGAGACGATAACACCTGCATGGAGAGATGAGTCAAAAGGTAAATAAGTAAATAGCCTCTGTGTAAATAAGTCAAACAAGTGAGATTTCTTTATTCATGCCAAGTGAAAGCTGAAGGCCACATCTGTTGTATAGGCCGAGTAATTATTGCATTTCCATATAGGAAACCTCACAACACACACACACACTGTTTGTGGTAAACCCTTCATCTGGCACCAGGCCAGGAAATCTCCAATCTCTACATCACAAAGCCTGAGACAAAGAACAATACCTCTGATTTCATGTAATTGAAGCGGGGGTGGGGGTGGGGGGTGGGGGGTTGTAGCTGCAGGCAGATGTGCAGAGCGACGGTGTTGGAGGAGCTGCACACACAGAGCTGCTTTCACTCGCCGCTTCCTTTGAATCAAACTGAAAACATTTTTATCCACAAAGTGACGTAAGATCAGACTCAAACAGAGCGGGAGCAGCTTTAGGATCAGAGCAGAGCACATCTCTGCAAAGACAAAGCAGACTTTTTATTCTTCCTTCAGCGTTTACATCACTGATTTCAGCTAATCTACTTAGCCACCATTTCACACTGCCCTTTCCTAAAGCCTTTTTAATTAACCAGCTGGGATTATTCCTTTTGTTGGGAAGAAATCCTGATGCCAGTAAAAACAATCTCCTGTCAGGACCTTCAGAGTTTTATTACATTTAAACTCTGAGCTACAGGAAACACAAACATCCCAGATGGAGTTAGAGAACTGACATAAGTGTTTATGTGGAGGGGAGAAACCTCTGAATGAAAAGATGTACAGACACGCTGAGACACACGTGGACATCTGATAGCCAGCACTTTGAGTCTGTCACAACATTATGAAGAGAAGACGAACCGCACCGAGAGCTGCTGCTCACGGTCCCGTCTCCACACTCCAACCAGCATTTAGGATTTTTATCATGACTGCAGCAGAAGATCTGACCTGAATTATAGATCTGGTACTGACGTAACCACTAATCCTCCTGAAGACAAAACTTTCCAGTTTTATTGTTTATAACTCAGAGTTACTGAGAACCTGTTTAACACATCTGGCAGGTTTAGTCCGTTTTGACAGTTTTTAACCTGACCCAACATGGGAAGTCGTCTCTTCCTCACAGCCGCCAGCTCGGCCCTATTTTTAAACTTGACTGTTCGGATGAGCCATCTGAGCTGATGACTGTTCCCACAGACCAGACAAAGGGGATTTTCTGTGCGACTGGTTAACTAGTTCAGTGTTTCCCACCGCTTTAGAAGTCACGTCATTCCAGGATCAGATCGACACGCCTGATGACCATCAGCTGTGAGGGTTTGCGCGGATGTCAGCGGGGAGACGAAAGCTGAGCTGTGACTGAATCAAGCTGAGGGTTAGCTTTCATGTCCACCCATGCAGACTTCCATCAGTCAATGTTGGCTCGTAATTGTACAGTTTGAACCACAGTGATCAATAAATAGTGTGAATCTTCTTTTTTTAACCCTGACCCGTCTGGCTGCCATCTATGTTCACGAGTCAAATGCTTCCCTGACACCTCGCTAAGAGACGGCTGGCGTTCCATTACCTAAATTAGCCGCTTGCAGCAGATTCTCAGTCTGCGGCGGAGGATTGTGCTGCCGTGACTGTAAAAAGATCAGGAGGGCTTCACTCAGCGGCAGCAGCACCGCGGGGGAGCTGACACCCACACAAGGCCTGTGGATAAAAGCTAAGTCAATAACTACATGTTCATGCCACTGCTGGCTGTTGCTCGGAAACGTGCGTCTCGGCTGACTCAAACGTTCCCACGTTGCTTTGGTGCTGCTGGTCTGGGGTCAGCTCTTGCTTTAAACTGGTGAGAAGTTTGGGATTCATATAAGATTCACTCAGAAGAAATGAGTTCAGAGCAAAATCGAGGCTAACGTCAAAGAAGAAGAGCAAACGGGATAAGCTAGCAGCCCTGCAGATTAAAATAGACATAAATATTACGTTCAGCTAGGGCTGGACGATAATTCAATAGTTGAATATATCTATCGATAGAGATGTGGTGCGATAGATAAACTGGTCGATAAAAAAGTTTCCTTTTTCATTATAACCTATCAGGTAGCAGCATTCCAGACTCACTACTTACTCCTAACCAATCAAAACCACAGACTCGGCACGCTACGTCACCAGGCCCTCCCCTCCCAAACCAAAAGAGAGCGAGAGGCAGCCGCAGCAAGATGTCTAGGGCTGCCATGATTAATCGACTCGTCACGACAACGCGACAAATAAAATAGACCTTATTTTATAAAGAAGTTTTTAATCTTGCCTGCTGCGGCTTGTTCAGCTTTTGCTTCCTGCCTCTCTGCTCAGCCACCGCTTTAGCTCCAAGGCGCATGCGCAGTGGTGGCCATCCAGCTCAGCCTTCATCATCAGAGAAAGTGTCGAGTCGCAACATATCCAAGTGGTGCTCGCTGCAGAACCACAAAGGCGGAGCTGCACCAGAAGGTGGAGCTGCACCAGAGTCAGCCCCGCCCATTCCAGAATCAGCCCCGCCCATTCTATCGGAGTCAGTCCAATTCCTTCCAGTTGTCAGACTTTATAGCATTCTGGAACCAAAGAGGGTGTTATAGCTAAAAAATGCAAGATTGAGGAGGGAGTTGAGAAGTGAATTGAACCGTTTTTGTAAAGGTTCCATATAATTAAAAATCTAACTTTTGGAACTTTAAATCATGTTATATTGTCATTTCCTCATAAGAAACACGCCAAAGCCATTTTTGGCCTCATTCATGCATTTTCTTCCCATCTCAGCTTCAATTTAGTCTCCTCCCCCAAAGCGGGTCTGGTCTTGGTTCTCAAATCTGGATATTCTGTGAATTTTCTGACAAATTATTTCTGAAATGACTTCTACTGAGACACCGCCAGAAAAATCATACATCCCATCTACAAAGACACACCAAATAACATAATAAAATGTAACGCCACCTAATTTTTATCAGATGTGGTGGTGTAGTGGTGATGGTGTCAGGTTGACATGCAGTTTTGCGCAGGTTCGCCTCCCAGTAGTGGAAATATTCTATAATCTCTTTTCCTCATTTCTAGCTACACTTGCCAGTACTATGTTTACAACAATTTATTGGTATGCCGTTTAACATATAATGACTAATGTGTTTTTTTTATTTATTCATTCGTTTATTTAGGCAGTGTGAGTCCATCTGTGAGCAGAGTTTCAACTAAAATGCTGTTTAGGAACGACCAAATTCAAAGAACTTGTAGAGACATAAATATTTTGCTGAAAATGAACATTACAACTAAAATATGAACAAATTAAATGTTTCAGCTGGCTGAATAGATTGTTGCCGACCCCACCGAGAATCGAACCAGCATCAGCTGAGGGGAAAGCAAAATGTAAGTCAGACGATCTTGCCACTGGACTACCAGAACCCACAGAGAGGGGGTACATGCTGTTGTACAGGACTTTTGTTAGAGCGGCTGTGGGCAGATATTCGCTACAAGAAACCTTTTTATTTCGGGATATATTCAGTAGGGCTGGGGGTAAACGATTATTTTTAAAACGATTATTCTGACGATTATTTTATCGAATAGTCGACTATTCTAATGACTATTTAGAAAATTAATCTAATGATTATTTTTCTATTGCACAATTAACAAAAACCAGAAAATCTCAAATAAATTCCTCAAAAAAATTGATAAATTCTTACTGTAAGAGAATAAACACTACAGGCCTTCCATTTTGTATAACACTGCGTTTATTGTGTTGCGGTTGGTTATGTTCTGGTGACATGTAGAACTTGGGAGTGCAGGCTGCTGCCTGAGAGGTGGTAGAAGATGGAGTGTCTCCATGCTGCTTTGTTTTGGTCACTTATGTGCGTGAGGCGAGTGGTCTTACGGGTTAAACCAAACTCAGGTGATATTTTACACTAAACCGAAAACCCACAACACTCTAAATGTAATAAAAGGGAGATCTACACCACAAAAAAGATGAACTCTAAACCAAAACATAACAGCTTATCCAAACGCAAGAAGCTGTTAGCGAAGATGCTAACAGTAGCTTTACCAACGTTAAGTTCAAGTTACCAAGTTTAAATAAACCAAAAACACCCAGCAGCAAACAGACCAGCACAGAGGAGAGACTGCTACCACCAAAACAGCTCTCCTAATGTCTGAAAGAAGCTCCTTAATGAAGGGAGAAGCGCTCCCGGTGATTTTCTACATCTGCGATAGACACGAAGCAGCGCATCTGACCCCAGAAGTTGTTGTCCGTTGCCGGGAGACGAAGGCGGGCAAAACAGGAAAATAATCTAGTAGTGGACGGACGTTGTTCTGGGTCTTCGGTATTTGGCGGAGATGTTAGTGAAGGCGGAGAAGAGGGCGAACTAGAGGAAAAACAGGCAGATTCTTCCTCTATTTACAAACTCCTGGGGATGCAACAAGTGGGCGCGGTGCGTCGACTTCCGGATCTGACGTCGACAAATTTTTAGAATCGAGCCGTCGACTTCGTCGAGGCTTCGCTACAGCCCTAATATTCAGACTTTGTCATGTAGCAAGTCATATTTATCTTGTTTAATTGGAGCACAGAACATAGCATTAACGACTGTAAACTAGTAACAGCCGTAATTCATGTGGGTCAGGTCAGTTTGCGATAAAGTTGAAAACAAAAACGGAAGTCAGTGGGCTAGGCTGAGTTTGCGTGAATGGGCGGGGTTGACTCTGGTGCAGCTCCACCTTATGGTGCAGCTCCGCCTTTGTAGTTCTGCAGCGAGCACCCTCTCAACATA